AGGGTCCTGGGATCGAGTCCCACATCGGGCTCCCGGCTCAGCGGGGAGCCTGCTTCTCCCTCTGACCCTCTCCCCTCTCATGCTGTTTCTCTCCTGCTCACTCTCTAATAAATAAATAAATAAATAAATAATCTTTAAAAAAAAAAATTAGCGCTGAGAATATCCTCCTCCTATAACGCCTATTACATCACCCATTACATCATCCATCTGCGAGGTGCAGTGACAGAACATCCTCACAAGAGAGCACGATTGCAACTCCTATCACCTGGGTGACGGCACATTATTTGCAACGTTAGTCGCGGTTTAAGGCACAATCAAGTGGTTGCAGATCAATGGCCCACAGGCCAAATCCTGCCCACAAACTTGTTTAGCCAGCACAACTGGCTAATTTTTGTGTGAGCTGATAACTTATAAACATGAGGAGACTGCACCTAAAAATCCAGATCTTCAGCTTTTCTTCAGAAATGTTGAAAATGTAGTAAAGTTAAACTCACATTCATTCCCTCAAGCTAGCAAAGAGTGAGGGCTAAGAAGCAGCTTCCCCCTTGGATGGACAAACATCCCCCTTGGATGGACAAACTTCCCTCTTGGATGGACAAACTTAGTAACTTGCACAAACTTCCAGCCTCTAAGGGGCAGGCTTTTCAGAAAATGTATCAAGTCATTAGACATAAAGTCAGCATTAAGGGGTACCAAAGGGAAGCCAAAAAGTTAGGTCTCTGAAAGGACAGTTCAATATGAAAACACTTTTCTTTCCCATATATATTTTTTATCAAACACCAATGCAAAGTCTCTGTTTTTGCCAGTGAGTTCAACTATTAGCGTAGTATTAATAAATCAGAAGAAAGCTGATGAAAGTTTGGTTTGAACCAGAGGCAGAGCCAACATAGGCTATTTTGGGTTGTTATTGCCAGAAAACAGAACTACAAGTAAAATTTGTAAAATGTCATATATGGCTTTATCAAACATTTCTACTTATTAATTCCCACAGTTGAAAGAAATAGGCTTTCCAGCTATTATTTAACCTCATTTTATAGAAAGGTTTAGATAGGTTAATTAACATGTCCAAAGACTGACAGCAAGTTTGTGGCAAAATGAGGACCTGAGCCCAAGAGAGCACAGTAAAGTTCCTGCTTTTGGTTTTGTTTTGTTTTGTTTTTAAATAAATAAAGCTATTCTATGCTTCATCCTCACATAAGAAGTTCTTCATTGTTCACTCTAAGGAGGTTTTAGAATTCCGTAACAGGTTTGTACCACATTTCTTGGAAATTCACAAGGCCTGTAATTGCTAACGTAAGCATGACTTAATGTTAGCTCACGAGGGGTGCTTTCCCACTTACCCCATCAAGTGACAGTCTCATCTGCATATATATCAGTAATATCATCAGAAAAGAATATCAATACATATAATTTTACTATAAATCATTTACTTACCACCAATTTAACAAGGATGTAAAAATAACTTGCTATGGCATCAAAGATAAAGATGAAGGAAGAATGGAATTTGATCCCCAGATCGGCGCAGCCTTATGAGAGAGAACCGTCTGCTGCTGAGTTCTGGGTAATGAATCTCTAAGCTAAATATCACCATAGTAACTCAAAAGAGCTTTTGAAACTCTGTTGAGGTCACAACGTCAAATGCCCTTAGGTGCTAGATAGATAACACCATGATATGGGACAGGTGTAAAAAAATGTTTTTCCATGAAATACTCAATCCTCTTTCTAGCTTTCACTTTCCAGCTTTCAGTAGAGATGGTAGTGTGTGAAAGATTTCATTTTTTCCTTAGCTTGACTCTAAGAAGGACAGACACACAAACATCAAGACAGTGCTACCTGAACTCTTGGCATGGGGGAGGCAGCATGGAAGGAGGGTTCTGTGGTGACCTGAACATGTCCATCCAAGGGGGAAGCTGCTTCTTTGCTAGCTTGAGGGAATGAATGTGAGTTTAACTTTACTACATTTTCAACATTTCTGAAGAAAAGCTGAAGATCTGGATTTTTAGGTGCAGTCTCCTCATGTTTATAAGTTATCAGCTCACACAAAAATTAGCCAGTTGTGCCGGCTAAACAAGTTTGTGGGCAGGATTTGGCCTGTGGGCCATCGATTTGCAACCACTTGATTGTGCCTTAATTTCTAGGTGAGTGCTCTCTCCTGAATTCCTGACCTGAGTCATCAGTGAACTGCTCGGATTCTCTACTGAGATGGGCACAGTTCTCATACGTTCAACGTATAATACACAACCACTCCCCAGTCTTCCCTGTAAAACCCACTCTCCTGCTGCTATTACATCTAATCAGCAGCACTACCGTCCCCTCCGGTCCTTCAGCTCTGAACTGGCCGCTGATCTAGACCTCTCGTCCACGCCACCCACACCTGGTTAATAACCACGTGTCATTATTAGTTCTGTCTCCTCAAACTCTGTCCAATTAGTCCTCATTGCCCCATACTCGCCACCACCATCTGCGGGATCGTCTGTCACCTGTATGGTACAACAGCATCCAAGCATTTTTCCAGCATTCCAGTTCGCCTTTTCTCACTCTTCCACCGGTACGGTCTTTTCAACGGAAATCGATCAGGTAACTTTCTAGCTTAAACATTTGAATGACTTATGACTGATATTAGGATGGAGTTGAAAGTTTACCCTGGTGATAAGGCCGCCACGATCTGGCGGCCACTCAATCATTCACTTGGCGAATGTTTGTTGAGCACCTGGCGGACACATTTGAAGCTTCAATACACAGCAATGAATGAAAACAGGCCAACGTCTCTGCCTTCTGGTCACTTTCTGAGTGTGACTCTGAAAGCGTGGTTTATTGTGCGTGGACATTTACCAACCGATTTTCTATCCTTTATTTCACTTATACTTAAGACCCGTCATGGCCTGGGTAGAATTCTAGGTACTCAGGAAACCAAGGCTAATAAGGCACAGCTTCTGTGGTCTTTGCCTCAGTGCAATCGTTTATACCCGTATCTCCATGACCGACATTCCCATCATCATCAGTGGGCTAGTCTTCTAGTATTTTTTTTTCTAAGTCTTTAGAAGTGTTGGAAAATGTAAGTGTGAGTGAAGTCTTTGGGGATTTATTTAGGTTTTGGAAATATCATCCCCTACTGTCACTATGGAGATACTGTTCAGATTTATAAAATGACCTTGACTCCCCAAAGGACATTGTTTGAATAAATGGATGAATGAAAGATCGAATCTGTGAGTGCCACCTGGGAGGGCAGGCTCAGAGCAGCATGCTTATAGTGCCACATTTTTTTTTTCTGTTTATTCCTATTGTCTTCAATGCTTAATTTTTAAAAAAATTTTATTTTATTATGGTAATCACCATACATTACATCATTAGTTTTTGATGTAGTGTTCCATGATTCATTGTTTGTGTATAACACCCAGTGCTCCATTCAGTAGGTGCCCTCTTTAATACCCATCACCAGGCTAACCTATCCCCCCACCCCCCTCTCCTCTAGAACCCTCAGTTTGTTTTTCAGAGTCCATAGTCTCTCATGGTTCATCTCCCCCTCTGATTTCCCCCCCTTCATTTTTCCCTTCCTGCTATCTTCTTCTTCTTCTTCTTTTTTTTTTAACATAAAATGCATTATTTGTTTCAGAGGTACAGGTCTGTGATTCATCAGTCTTGCACAATTCACAGAGCTCACTAGCACATACCCTCCCCAATGTCTATCACCCAGCCACCCCATCCCTCCCACCCCCCACCACGCCAGCATCCCCCAGCTTGTTTCCTGAGATTAAGAATTCCTCATATCGGTGAGATCATGTGATACATGCCTTTCTCTGATTGACTTATTTCACTTCATAATATCCTCTATTGTAAATGGCAAGATTTCCTTTTTTTTTGATGAGCCACTTTTTTTTGTAAGGTTTTATTTATTCATTTGAGAGAGAGAGAGACAGAGAGTGCACAAGAAGGGGGAGAGGCAGGGGGAGAGGCAGACTCCTGGCTGAACTGGGAGCCCGAAGTGGGGCTCGATCCCAGGAACTGGAGATCATGACCTGAGCCGAAGGCAGATGCTTAACCACCTGAGCCACTCAGGCACCCCCCCCGCCCCCCCCGTCAATAGAGCCACTGTTGCTCCATCTACCCGAGAACACACATCAAACTTCTTTTGGCTCCATAATCTGCCCTGGAAGCCATTCACCCTTTCTTTCTATTGGAATCTGAACTTTGTCAACAAATTTTTCTGTATGCCTAGATTGGAAAGACAGTGTTAGGTGCTAAGCGAATCAGGGTGATCATGAGCACTGGTCTTAAGGAAGGAGGCAGATAAGTAAGGCATACAGATTGCTAGGTGAATGTGGAGAGGGGAAGAAAGGCGATTGCATCCAGTTGAGGAGCCTAGAACATGGGTATCTGACCTGGGGCTTACCAAATGTACAAAATTTCAACAGGCGGGAAAAAAGATAGTTCCAATTGGATGGCCTATTCAGAGCAGGTCTGAGCCGTGTGAAGGTATGTCCTGTGTTCAGGAGATAGCACTGTCTGTGGGGCTCCTGCAAGGGATGGGGAGGGTGTGGGAGGGGACAGGCAGTAAGGGGATCCAGGCCAGGCTGAAGTGGGATCACCTTACAGAGTGTGGAGAAGGTCATAACAAGAAGTGAGAACAGGAGGGGCACCTGGGTGGCTCAATTGGTAAACAGCTGACTCTGGACCTCAGGGTCACGAGTTCAAGCCCCATGTTGGGCTCCATACTGGGTGTGGAACCTACTTAAAAAAAAAAAGAAAAAGTGAAAACAGGAGGTACATTGGGGTTTCGAGCACATCAAAGTAACCATTGCATGTTTGCAAGACCAGGGCTGCCCATAGCCCTCCTGGCCAGCAGTTTTTCTTTTTGAATTACAGTGTAGTGCCAAGTTGGAATCCAGACAGCATAAACAGAAATATCCCTCTTGACAGAAGCTGCTAACTTGAATCACGGGACAATTCCCATGTATGATCCGTGTGGAGTGTCCTGTTGGTCCTGGCCGATTGGAGAACTCAGCAGAGAAAAGAGCAGCAAAAAGTTAATTTGCTCTGTGAGGGTTCTAGGAGCACAGGCTTTGGCAGGTTTTAAGAACAAAATTTACAGCTTTAATAAAACTGATAAAGTCTTTCTCGCTTTTATACATTGAAATATGATTTGATATTCACTGGAGATAAAGGGGATGTAGCGAGTTTCCCCAGGGCTCCTGCTGGAGACGGTAATGACATCATCTATAATGAATCCAAGGATTCATCTTTGGATTAGGATCTGGGTGAGTTGGAGGAGATGAGGAGTAGGTCGAGTGTTCAAGCATGAAGTGAACAAAATGAAATAGAGTTTAAGCCAGATGGCCTTAAGCGTTTCTCAGGTACTGTTGTGCATCTGAAAACCTAGAAGAAAGCAAGAGAAGGGCTTAGAGGGGCCTTAGCTGGCCCACCTCCATAACTCACAGGCTGCATGGACTCCTGTGATGCCTGACCCCGATTCTAATAGGGCTACATGTTCGTTTACTTAAAACAGGATATAAGACAATGTGCAATTTCATCTTCCTTATTTATCTCTCCCAGATCCAGTGAGAAGCAAATTTGCACATAATGACAGATCGCAGGCATCTAGCCCCAAATGGAGTGTCTGGTTGTGATCCATCATCATGACATATCAGCTTTAGCAAACATGGCTGCTCACAGGGGGACACAATCCGTGAGTGAAATTGGAGGGAGCAGGATTTTAAGAGCCATACATCAATAAGAGAAGGGATGGGGGAGGGTGCTGATGGGATTCATCCTCCAACAGTGGGCAGCTTCACCGCAGTCTCAATCAAAAGTCTTTTACATTGTATTTTTTTTTCTTTTCAAATGAATATCCAAAGATAGTATATCTTTTTCACTTGGGGATTATATGGAGACCCTTAAATCAGATGAAATCTAGGTTAGTGGTTGTTTCATCAAGATAGTCAAATCCTCCTTGAAAGATAAATCAGAGAAGGGGAACATAGAGGCTTTAATTTGATTAGCTGGCTATAAAATCAAATGGGGTATTTGTTTGTTTGTTTTTTGGTGTTGCTTTGAGCTTTTATTAGGGTTTGGATAAAATTTGGAGAGAGGCCACATAAAAATTGTTGTCAGGTACTTCAGTTATATTTTCAGATAATCAAGGTAGAACCATTACAAAATCTTGCTACTCTAGAGAACATGAAGGGATTCAAAATTTAGGTCATCTGTAAAGTGTTTATTCAAATAGCTTAAAAATGAAGATATATACAATAAAGAATTAAGGCTGAAGGCTAAAAATTAGAAAGAAAACAGACATATCAAAGATACGAGTGAGTAGAAGGTAATTGGAGAAAGCACTTAGAATAAGATATTTGTTCTAGCTGGGATCCTAACCGCCAGGCTAGATGAGTCTACAGATATGCAATGACTCAGGTCTCTAACACTCAATATCCCAATCTAGGTTCACCACCTGAGTCCTTAGCTTGAGCTGCTCAGATAATCACCGAACCCTCTCCGATAACTTGCCACAGAGTTAGGGAAGAGTTCAAGTCCAAGTTGAATCCAGTACTAGTGAAATCCCCCACCCCACCCCCACCCCCCAAGTTAAAAGCTACTGGAAGATGATGTAGTTAGAGCACTCATCAGTTCATGAAGGAACACTGCCATCCAGTGCGGGGGATGGTCATTACATTTCTTCAAGATGCATCCTGCTGATTGATTAGTTGTTTTTCTTTCCGATAGCTCCAGGAAGCAGTTAAATACAACCTCTCATTTTGCTAAAGTAAAAAATGAGGCAAAGATGGTGTAAGACATTGATTTCATGCCATAAATGAAGACCACATTAACATGAGAGCTGTAACTTTTTCTGACTTTAGGCAAATAAATAACACCCCCAAAAGGGTCATTCTGTTAGAATAGAAACTCCATTTGAACAACTTCAGTTAAAAGAGAAGGATACTAGTTCTCTTCCAACTCTAAGGCAGGCATTCTGCATGGCCTTTGGAGGGCTATCATGACCTGGAGTGCTGTAGAGACTCAGGAGGCCCCCTCTGTGCATCTGTTTTCCTCTTCTTTTGTTTCTGCAGATCACTTTTCTCTATATCCCAGCCCAAATGGTAGTTTCAAGTATATTAACAAAAGCAAATACAAGGACTGGGTTAAAGATATTCATAAGAAAATCCAGAAAGGTGAGAGAGGATTCTGGAGGTCAATGGGTGAGAGCAACCATAACGGAAGAGGTGAGTGTAAATTCATAAGAAGAACTTAAAACAGCACAACTAAACAAAACAAGTATTACAAAATCCAGAGATGGGTAAGGGAAGGTGATTGCTTGCTGAATTTTGGCACTAAAATGTATGCAAATTCCTTTTTATTGTTTAATGCCTTAAGGGTCTGTCTACTTTCACTGGAAGATTTTAAGAGGGACACTGTGTCCCCAGGGCAAAACCAGGCTTCATCTATGGTGAGGATGCAGAGTGATTGATCTCTGGATGAGTATGTTCATAATTCTGTGATGCAAGCATTTGCAGAGAGGCTGTGTGGGATCTGCATAAGAATGCAAGTAAACAAAAGAGATATCTACAGACAGTTGACTTTTCTTT